TTCAAAGTGCACCCCACTTCTACACACACACACACAGACACACTGTAACAACCCAACCCCAAATTTTTATATATTTTCGTGGTTCCCCAAATAATTATGAAATTATCGTTTTAGTCCCCTATCTTAACCAAATCTGGACCATTCATCTTGATTTCCAAATTCTCTCAAGCTACCACATGGCAGCACCCTAGCACCCTCACGTATCTCTCTCTCTCCCCACCCCGTGACCTCTTTCTCTTTCTTTCTTCTCTGCACTCACTCTCCCTCTCTCGAAGACCCTCACTCTTTCACCCTTTGACCCACACCCGAGAGCACCCACGCACACCCTTCGTGGTACTCCGTTGACGGCATCGTCATCACCTTCTACACGCCGTCGTCTCTCTCTCTCTCTTTCTCTCTCTCCCGTCGCTGCGCAACTCGACGAAACCCCAAGAACCTCCGGCGAGTTCTTCATGGGTTATGGTTAGGTAAGCCTCGAACCTCTCTTTCCGTGTTGGTTTGTTGCTTGGATGTGATTATTGAGGTTATTCTGTCCTTTTTACCAAGGATTTAGCACGGAATCAGCCCGGGAATAGGCGCACCCATCTCCGGTGAGACCGTGGGTGTCGAGAGGTTTTCCGACCACCACGGGTCGTTTCACGGCAAATGGAAGGTATAAACGCACTCCTCTCGTCTCGTGCTTTTGTTTGATACCTAGATCGGGGTCTAGAACCCTTGTTTGTGGTCGGCCGGAGCTGTAGAAGCTCCGGCGTTCTTCTCCGAGTAGCACGGTTAAAAAAATATCGCGATATTTCCAAAATATCGCGATATTATACCGAAAACCATTTGGATACCTATTTAAATATCCATTACCTGAAAAACCGATAATATCGGCGATATTTCGCCGATATTATCGATATTTTCTTCCATGGTTATAACCGACATGATTGTTTTAAAAAAAAATTCAAATGAAACGGCTACTAGCCGTTGCATTTGATTTGATTTTTTTTTTTACATTATTATTATTTTTTTTAAATTCCATTTTTTTTCTATAACTTCTATTTCACAAAATTTATTTCATATTTTTTTTAAATTCCATTTTTTTCCTATAACTTCTATTTCACAAAATTTGTTTCATATTTTTTTTAAATTCCATTTTTTTCCTAGAACTTCTATTTGACAAAATTTGTTTCATATTTTTTTTAAATTCTATTTTTTTTTCCTATAACTTCCTAAGCCATTATACAACATTAAATTAAATTAAGTAACATGAAACAACATTAAACAATATGAAACAACATTAAACAACATTTTAGTTGTAGTTTTTAAATAATAAATTATGTTTGGCCCTCGGTTGGAGACGGTTTTTTATGACAGGGCTAAAACGAGCCCTCTGGCCCTTTGGCCCTCGGTTGGAGACGGAGGCAAATATGACCCTGTACTGTTCATTAAAATATTAATATCTTGGAGAATCTTGGAGGGCCAGAGGGCTAAAACGAGCCCTCTGGCCAGTCCTCGGTTAGAGATGGCCTAAGGCTATTGCCCCTATTCGTGTGTTTTGCTATTTACGATGTTTCGAATTTTATATAGAAGATTTTTTTTATGAGAAATGTTAAGGATATTTAAATTTTAAAGTAAACTAAATGATGTGATGATTGATGATTTGATTAACGTGTATTTTTTATTGATGCCACGTCATTTACTTTACAATTTAGTTTAAAATTTTGATTTTCCTAACATTATCTTTTATTTGAGAGGGCCAAGTTGTCTTTGTGAGATATTTTTTAGTGCGTCGGAAATGCGGCATGGCATACCAAGTATATTAATACAATTGGTTGGAAACTTTAAAAAAATATCTAACCAAATATATTATGACTCTTGATGTACTGAATCATGTTCCCAGTATACTAAAAAAAAGGATAGTGAACAATGCGCATGAAGGGGAAAATTGGTGTGGGGTTTGGCTCTTGCCTCCCAACAAGAAAATTTATACATCCGCCACTCCACTTACTTTCTCCTCGCACTCCATATTTGTATCTCTTTCATCTCCTTAACTTAAAAAAAAAAAAAAAAAAAAGTTTAGGGGGAGGGGAGGCTACTCCATCCCAAGACCAAGGCATACCACAAGTCTTTTTTAAGACTTACAGGGTCTTAGCCCTTCTTTTGATTTTTACAGATCGCCCACCAAGAGGAATTGTCGGCAATGGAACTCAAACTTAGGCCTTGATCTAGCGAAGAGTATAGTATATGATTTATTTATTTATTTATTTATTAGCTAAGTGGATGTAGATAAATATATACCTTAGAGGTGCATATACATATTGCTCATGACAAGCTTTCTACAATTACAATGTCCACAACTTGCCACTTAATACTACGATCTAGTAGTATTCATCTTCACTTGTAAGTGAGAGGTCTTAGGTTCGATTTTTGCCAAGGGCAAATTTGAACCACCTTATGCTAGCCTATTATGAGGCTAATAGCCCACTCCTCCCGTTTAGTGTAAATAATATTGTTTGTTAAAAAAAAAAGATGTAAATTGATAATTTTTGCTGCTTTTATCCGTATTTTCATTTCAATTTTTTCTAAATCAAACATTATTTTCACATTTTAGATGATAAAAAAATTATGAATTTGAATCACTTTGATAGAGACAAATCTTGAATGAGAACTTTGCTGGAAAAAATTAGGGTTTAATTGTTATATTAAATCACATAAAAAATCAAGAAATAATTCATGCAATTATATATCAAAGTAATGCACATGAGTAACCAATGTTAAATGAACATAACATAATGGATTAGAAAAACCTTCAATATGGTCGAGGCAAGTGTTGGACACTTTGTCCTTTAAGACAAGTTTATACCCCAATACGGTGCTTATGGTTGAACGACGCTTGTCTTCTAAGATACAACGACCATATCCTTATAATAGTAGCACTCCAAATCATAAGACTCCAATAAACCACGATTGTGTTGAATATTATCTCATATGAACTGAATATGACACTACAAAACTCTCTAACAGTAGTGCACTAAGTGTATGAATATGTGAATGTAAAAGATGTTAAATAATTATAGGGGGCTTCCCTATTTATAGAATTTGAGATACCTCTTTGAAAAACATGTGACCATTCATGAAGAGTCAAAAGTTGCAACTCTTCAAGATAAACATATCTTTCCACCTAAAGGCATCACTTTCAATTTCCATTCAATTATTTAATTTAATATAATAATAATAATATTAAAATTTCCAACAAACCTAAATTATAGACGTTTTCCATTCGTTGAAATGCATTATGAAGTAACCTTAAGAATTAAAAATTGAAAATTTTATTTAGACCCATTTATCCTTTTTTTACACCCAGCTTATTTTTTTTTTGTCTTGAAATTCCAAAAGTGCCCAACAATTCTCCTTTTACACTCATAATGAAAAAGAACAAAAAAATAAAAAATAAAATTATAACACTAAGAAATTTCAGCCACCCCATCTCTCCAAACCCCTACCACCCCCAATTTCTACCCGTCCCTAACCCCCCACCACCACCTCTCCTACCACCCACAATGAAAACCCCAAAGATCTCATTCATCACTCACTCTAACTTGTCGTTCAAGGATTGGATAGTTAGATTACTCGGGAACTTTATCACTCGCTCTAATTTGTCGGAAATGAAGAACTTTGAGGGACTTGAAACTAGGAGTGTGTCTACAAGAGTGTAGACTTGAATTGTCAAAACTCATCAAGTTCTCCCATGCATAATGCAAAAACTGCTCCAACATAAACCCTTTATTTGCACTGATACTAATACATAATAGCTTGCGAGCAAATGCATATCGTTGGAAACAAAACCGTCAGCGAAAAACTCCAACTCAAGTGTTTGAACTCTCTTTTCTAATGCAAATTGAATCCGGCTATCAATGGAACTTTTGCATTGTAAAAACCTAGAAAGAAGCAAGCCTTGAGTTGTTCTACGTTCGGGTCTTTATGTTTCGCCAACACATGATTCACCCATTTGAAGTATCTAAAGTTTAGATGGGATCGAAGTTGAGAGTTATGGTAAACGCCGAGAGATACCACCATCAACTAGAAAAATTACTTTTAGTTGCTGCATGCTTGAGTGGCAAGAGAGCCAATATACTAAGAAAGATTGGAAGGGGGTAGTGATGGTTAGATATTTTGGGTTTTCATTGTGGACGGTAGGGAATGTGGCACTTGCCGGGGGGGGGGGAGGTTAGGGAAAGGTAGAAATTGAGAGTGGTTGGGATTTGGAAAGATAGGGTGGCCAGAGTTTTCTAGTGCTTGAATTTTATTTTTATTTTTTTACATTTTGGGTGTAAAGAGAGAATTATTGGACACATTCGGAATTTCAAAATAAAAAATAACAAGTTTAAGTGCAGAAAAAAGATAAATGAATCTAAATAAAATTTCTCATTAAAAATTCTATACCTTTTTCTTACTTTTGGAATCGAAATCCCAAAGACTCTCAGGGCTCGTTTGGTATTGTTGTGCTTTGAAAAAAAACTGATTCTGCTGTGCTGTGAGAATAAACAGCTGTGAAATAAAGCAGCAGAGTGTTTGGTAAACTTTTTTGTAAAAGTGCTTTTGAAAAAAAAAGTATTATAGTGCTTGGTAAACTTTTATGTAACAGATGTGAAAAAAAACCGTTTTTTCAAAGCTGGGTTTTGCAGCTTTGTGTTTTTTGGCTTTTTTCACTCAAAACTGTGAAAAAAAGTTGAAGCTGAATGTTTACCAAATACAAAAAAGCTCTTAGCTTTTTTTGATACCCACTTTTTTCAGAAGCCCCTCAGTACCAAACCAGGCTTCAATCTTGTAGAAAATCTAACATTAATTACGATAAATTGGAAAACCAAATAGTATCCCATGGACTTTGCTTTCAAACGAATAACAATCTTTAGACATTTAATAAAAAAAGAACGATCTTTGGACATTAAAGCAATACGCCACCGTTTTCGTGAATCATTTCATTTGGTCAACACTTTTTACCTATTTCTTTTTGTTAATTTTACGAAAAAAGAACCTTTTTGGCTTTATGATTATTCTACCCAACAGAAAACTAGATCATTCCCCGCCAATCGGATCGTAAAGGTCTCCGACGGCGGCACAAAGGGATTAGCCCACGCTCCTCCAACGGCAATCGAACGCCACGCTCCTCTTCTTCTTCGTTGGAGCCTCTCACAGTGCTCCCGATTCAAGAACTGGTATGTAAACTGCACCAATTATCAAATTTATGAACTTTTCTATCTGGGGTTTTCGGTTCATTGATTTTCCCAATTGTCATTACAAGAATCATCTTTCGAATTAGATTCTCATAGTATAAGATTAAGGTAGTGTTTGAACTCAATATTACACCATCGGCCTCGTGGAATTAAGACCGTTGAATGAACAAAGTTCTAAGCCGTTGGATGGAAGAACTGTTAAGGTAACTTTTTATGTGGATATTATTATGATTTCTTTTATAATCATAGTAAAGGGATAATCATCGAATTTGCTATGTAGTCTTGGTGTAATCAACGAATGGGATGATTTGGTCCATACATGTGTTTATTCACGTGTGGTTTATGTTAATTAGTGATGCAATTCCATCAAATTTGCTATGTAGTCTTGTTTGCCAGCATGCAGTGCATTGGATTGGATTGATAGGCTTGTAAAGGGATAATCATCATCACCAATGAATGGTCATGCTGTAACCACCAAATCCATATGATTATTTGTGAGATAAATCATTGATCTAAATAATGATTAGACGAAGATGGGATGATGATTAGCATGTGGTGGTGGTTAGGTAATGCTCTGCACGTACTATGTCGTGGAGATGTGATAAGGATTAACGCTTTGCAGAAGCTTGATCAGTGATAGAGTTCTAATAGTATGATCGAATTCGAATTGGTTATGGAACTTATCAACCAAGGCATGCATGTCCTTAAAAATAGAAGTGGTTAGGACCTTCAACTCAACGTACAAACAAACGCTCTACGCGAAACCTTCTCATACCCTAAGAAAAACACTAACTGCTTCACTAATCCTACACACATTCAATCATCATTGGGTTGATAAACTGGCAACATATTCAGTTCGGGTGAACATCACTGAAGCCGTAGAGAGTTGATCTAGGAGTACCTTCAATTTGGTTAAACAACACTACTTTTAGTTCAGGTGGTTAACTCCAAGTCTCATCCGGCAAAGAGTCTACGATTCTTTCGCCGTACAAGGTCATTTCACCAACAAAGTGAGGTGTTCTATGATTGTTTACTGATAAGGGCATTTTAGAGTTCGGCGTTCAAACGGCCGAACCACTATTACCTTAAACACACTCATCTCCTTTGAGTATCTTTGTTCCTACAGCCTGATACTGATTTGGCGCACCTATATTTGCACGAATATAGTTGAAGCAATCAAATATAGTGCCTTTATAGCACAAGGCATAACCTTGTCTTCAGGTTTTAGAACCCAAAGCCGAGAGTGTTCCTTCCTTGGCTGAAGTGGCTCGGTGTAGAAGTCAGCAATACATTTCATCACCACATTATCACATCCATCTCTTTCGCCCGACCGAGCTTAGTAGCGAGTAGTTAGCATAATTAGCTCAGTAGTTACTCAGCCATAGGTTTTGTAATTTCTACGGTCAACAGGCAGCTTTGACTTTATTAGTCACGGCAATTAATCATAGCTCAAGTTTATCACTTTCCCACTAATGATTCTTTGACGTTCTTTGATTCTATAATGCGAGTTGACATTGGTTTCTTAGGAATTTGACATTCTTTGGTGGTTCTGAGGATTGCCCTCTTTCTTTATTTCTTTCAGAATTATAATCAGTAATTATGCTTGCATTTTCAGAGTAACTGTTACACCGCCACATGAATTAGTAGCACCACATGGCGTTGACGGATTTAAGTTTTAACTTTAATTTTTGAGTAATCAAGGTCTCATTGTAAAACTCATGGCTTTCACTTGATGTTAGAAGCATTCAATTTTTTCTTGTTCTTCCTGTTAAATTATGTTCGTCAGTATCGACCACTTAGAGGGAAGGATGATCATCACATGACATATGGATTGAAACATGACAATGCCTTCTATCTGTTTCTGATAATATTCTTATCCCTTTCGTTTGTTCCTCCATTGAGGAATTCTATGCAATGACAGTTGAAGCCTTGCTGTGAAATGCTGTTGTGAGTCCAAGTTATTTTTGTTGTATAAGCTGGTTTTTATTGTTCTTTCATTTTCCCAGGTTCTCTCAATCCGGTTTTTTCGGGAAAATGTATCCGGGTGGTTACACCGCTGAAGTTACAAGTTTGTCCCCTAAAGCTACAGAGGAGGATGTTTACAATTTTTTCGGTCATTGTGGTGCAGTTGAGCATGTTGAAATCATCAGGTACCGTATAATTCATTTTCCCCTGCTTCTAATTATTGAGAATGCTTCCGGGTTTTTGTACTGAATTCAGAAAATGGTTGTTTGGTCATGTTTATATATGGGGTTTATCCACCTTAAACTGCTTGAATCAGTCAGAAGCAGTTTGTTTTTGGAAATTGGTCAAAAGGAACAACGCCGTTCGTGAAGGCTCTTCAATTTCTTTATCTTAGTTGTTAAAGAAATTGAAGTTAGCAGCCTAAACAATGGTACCAATGGTATGATGTGAGATTTCCATAAGTTCAGAAGTGATTGTTTTGGCTTTTAGTTGTGTTCGTTGTTGTGATTTTCACCGAACCAAATTTTTGTGTTCATAACACTCATCCATAGTAACAAAATCTGTAAACATTTGTATACATGAAGAACTATTTTCAGTACTTCAGCAGAAACTTCGCATTTGATAACTAACTGCTCTCACTCAAAGAAAGCTTGCTTTGCGAGAAAATATAAGAGCATCTGTCATGAGATACATGAAGTCATATGTTTGCACGAGTTCTAGTTTCCAAATGTTAATCGAGTTAAGTCCTCTAAATTTTCTTAATGAATGTATTATCTGATTGGGAGAATGCTTTTGTTATTGATAACAGATCCGGTGAATATGCCTCTACTGCATATGTGACATTCAGAGATGCTTTTGCTCTGCAAACTGCGATATTACTCAGCGTAAGTTGCCAGTCACTGAACCCAAAAGTTGCTTTTCATGCTTAATTCGGTCAATCAAGTTGGTAGTTTGCGTTCTCTGTTAGAGATTCATTGTCTCTAGATCCATAATAAGTCAGTCCGAACTTGGAATTGCATAATGCTCGGTTTGATGATGGAATTGCACAATTTGTCGAGATAGTAAATGGCGAAGAACCCACATATTTGTTGAAATTTGCCTGCATGGAATCTAGATCAGGAATACCGGATGTCAGTCTAACAAAGACGATTACATTTTCATATGGATGAATTTTAGCGTCACAATGCCTCAGGTATTTGATATTGGTTGCTTACTGAGTTTTCCTTTCTTCCTTGTTTTTAAATTTCAGGGAGCTAGGATCGTAGATCAATGTGTATGCATAACAAGTTGGGGAAGTTATATCGATGAATCCGATGCTTGGAACGGTTCTACTTATCCCGAAGGCAATACTAGCTCAACGGTAGGTGTAAATTAACAACTTGGACTGTTTTGGTTGAAGATTTATCACAGCACAAGCTTAGCACAACAGTCTTTCATGTAAACTTAATTATTTCTTAAATCTTGTACAATGTTATCAGACTTATCACTCGAGTCAGTTCGTCTCTACCCCCGGAGAAGCAGTAACGGTAGTCAAAACACTGGCATCCAAGGGATATGTTTTGGGAAAAGACGCATTAACCAAGGCCAAAGCTTTCGACGAGTCCCATCAACTCTCAGCAACTGCAGCAGCCAAGGTTTGTGAGCTCAGCGACAGAATCGGCCTCACTGAAAAAATTCACGCAGGCAGGGAAGTTGTCAAAACCGTGGACGAGAAGTTCCATGTTTCGGATATCACCAAATCAGCTGCAACCGTTACTGGAACGGCGGTGGTGGTGGCAGCTACGTATACTGGGGAAGCAGCTGTGGCAGCAGGAAGCGCTGTGGTCAACAGCAGCTACTTTGCTAAGGGAGCTCTTTGGTTTTCAGATGTATTGACTCGTGCAAGCAAAGCTGCAGCTGATTTGGGTAGTCATGGCGGTAACTAATCTCCAACATTTGTCTAGAACGTTTTGTGTCTACCGATTTCTCTCCAAATAAATCAACTTTTGTTACATGCCAACCTAGGTTAGAAATTGTTGTGAAGAAAAACTTCGATTTTCCTTCTTTACGAGGTACTGAGGTATTGTTGGTGTTTAAAGTCGTACTGTACTCACATGCAAGTGTTTAGTGTTGAAAGTGACGTGTAATGTACCACTCCGATATGTAAAAAGCGTTGTACTTGATACTTATTAAGAACACATACTGAAGAAAAACCGGAAAATTTTAGCTATCTCGTGCCGGACCAATACAGAATGAGGCCTAAGCCCAAAGTTACAAATGGGCCGTTTTTATTCATAATTTTTATGATTTTATTTTGTGTTAAATAATACCAAGCCAAGCTTTATCCAGTGCACATTTAAGTTACATATTTAAACAAGTCATTACTCACAAATGATCTTATTAGGTTAAATGATCTAACTGCTCTTATCTACAAATGACACTAACCATCGGCCATAATTTGCTTTGCTGACAAAAAAAAGTTTGCTTTCTCTGAGTATATTGACACGTATGGATTTTAAAAAAAATCGTGCGTTCCACGTTGAAGTCTGTAATAAAAAAACTTAACCTCAGTAGTTAGTTCAATCATCCTCTTAGTTGATCTCACGCCCATTCTTTCTTTCACTTTCTCGATTCGTAACTTCCAATTTTTCATCTCTCGCCTCACCCGATAATTTCAACATAAAGAGAGAGAATATGAAGTCATGACATGCCAGTTTTTCTACGTTTATTTGGTTTAAAGTAATTAATTTAGTGAAAACATTGTTGCATGAACACAGAAAGCAATCTAATTGGTGATGACCCTAATAAGACGACCCATTCAATATGCTCCATCCACACTTTTGACCCGATTATTCAAACCAACAATTCTTGGAAGGCAAGCAATCAGCAAGCACCCTGGTAGATGATCAGCAACTGAGACTCGACTCTAGTTAACCACCACAATTAATGTTAAAATATTTCAAACATTATTAATTTCATCAAAGATTGTGGTTGTTAGTCTTCGTAATAAAGGTTTAATCTTCCCAACTCCCTCTGCCTCCCCATCAACTACTTCCTAATTTTTTTATGATGTTCTTCATCTGCCAACAATCATTATACACGTATTCAGCATTGCAGCAGCTATTATTGCCCAAGTCTTTACTTCCAAACGACTCCGTGATGTTCCACTTTAAAGTCATGTTGTTTTTTGAGCCACCATCTACGGAGCAGTTGTAGGTTGCGGCAGGCAGGACGCTGTGCATTCGGGTGGAAGCGGGTGGGTCAAAATGCATGGTGTCCTACTCTCGAAAAAAAATTATGTCATAGTTAAGATATGACACGTTTTACAAAAACATAAGATTTGATGTATTTTAGTCTCATCTGATCTTACGTTGATCTCATTCGATGTAAGATTTGCCCTAATTAAATAGTTACACTGAAATTCATATCTTATCTTTTTGTGATGTGTTGCCACAGAAGACGGCGACTCGATCCCACCTTTTGTGAATGTGTTGCCGCATATGACATGTGCACCTAAGAATTCGGCCAAATAAAACCCACGCCCAAGGATTTGTGCCACCACCCTACACATCTCCTACCCCGTTTTTAGAGCAAGTCCACCCCTCCCAAACACTTGGTGTGGACTTGCTCTTAGAGTTCCGCAAATCCTTGACTTCCTATTCGCTATTTTAATTTAGAATTCTTCCTTTCTTTTTCTTTGGTTTATGATGCCCTAATCCATCATAAACTTCAACAAGTTGTCCTATCATATTCACTCATTTGCCCCAAGACATACAACTGGGGGATTCCAGCATTCGGGCCCATTTTAGTGAACTCGAATGCAAAAGTCCTCCTTGTTTGTTTTAAGTGGACGGGTGGTGTGACAAGGCAGTCGAGATGAGGTGTTTCCATCCCCCTAATCCACAACAATCATGCTTAATGAGATTGATTAATCAATTGGTTTTTGGATCATAAGGTCTCAGCTTGATGGCAGACTGTGAACGTCCACCGACTTTGCTCCTCCTAAGCATTGTTTGGTTTAGGAGGAAAACGTATACTGTAAACATGGTTGTGTAAGAGCTTGTTTGGAAGTGCTTTTAAAATAACTAAAAGTGCTTTTAGCGAAAATATTTTTGGGTTATAAAAGCATTTAAAATGCTTCCTGCAAGGAACATTAATTGTGTGCTTTTTGCAAGAATCACTTTTAAGTGCATTTTGAGGATTCATTTGCATTTTTATGGAAAATTGGTCCTAGAAACATTTTCACCAGAAACGTTTTCAATCATTTTAAAGGTATTTTAAAACGAGCTCTAAAACTCCCATCATCCAAATCATATCATACAACTAGAAAGCAAAAATGCTGGAACTTGTCGCCCTTTTCACTTATGGGAATCACTTTCCAGGGAATCCGCCGAATATGGGGCAACCTTATCGATCCAACAATACATGAAGATTCAACTTTCTTCTTCAATTTTCTTTTACAAATAGAGGAGGACAGAGGACTGGTCCCAAATGCAACTTTTAGATAATGTCGTTACTCTTGGGACTGTTTTATTTCAGCTGTTTAATGACCTAGAGCTTGTTTAGAAACACTTTTAAAATGACTGAAAGTGTTTTTGGATTCCAAAAGCACTTGAAGTGCTTCCTACAAGAAATACCGATTCGTTTTTATTATAAACTCTTTTAGCCACTTTAAAAGTACTTTCACCCATTTTAAAAGTAGTTACAAACAAACCCATAATATTTTTGACAAGAAACAGTTGTTCATAACACTCTTTTCTTCCTATCCCTTTGTCACCACATTAATGTGGCTTCTAATTTTTAACAACCCAAATTGATATGATTTGATTGCATGCGTCTCGTAGCCAATTGTTAGTTTCGATGTTCGAGAGAAATAATAGTAGTGTTGTCTAACGATGACAGTTCTTACATCGTGTAAGGTTAATGTAGAGCTGATGAGACTAAAATATAATTTTATAATTTCATGAGAATGTGTTACTGATGATGTGATCGGATCACCATAACCAAAACAATTTCATTATGTTAAGGGCCTCAAGATGAGAGAATTCAATGTCATGAGCGAAGTTTGCAACATTCATCATGTGATGAGTGCTCAAATAAAAAAGATACGTGTTAAGTTTTGTAGACTTAAAATAATATATCTCAATTATATGTAAAAATCTTCGCTTGAAAACCCTAATATGACTTGGATTGCCCAAACGATGAAAGATGAGATTATCGAAGTTGAGATGGCAACATTTTTGGCACTCATTATTGAGATTAATTTGTCTTATGCTGGTGTCCCTTAGTTGCACCACCATATGTACATGGCACCATGTCATGTTATTATATTCTGCCTAGTATATCTCTTAATTTGGTTAGAGCCGTCCTCCCCAGTCCCCCAGTCCACAGCTAAGATAATTAATCAGTTCTTTATTTTGTAGAATCGAATTTTCAGAATATTTTATTTTATATTACTAATAATTCGTACTCCTTTTCCTTGGGTTTAGAATGTGAAAGTATTATAGAAAACTAATGAAAAGAGTTTGAAAACTTTGAGTTTTAATAATAAAGACAAAATAAAGGGTAAAGTGAATAGTACCAGAATTGACTTTTTAGTGTAAAAATATGGTTTTTCGTTAAATGAACAGTACCGAAAACTTTTCATTAAAGTTCCCGATAGTCTTATTGGTTTTTTTTTTTTTTAAGAAAAAGGGACAAGTTGGTGGCTCTATCATGTCAATTTATTTTTTCGGAGGTCAGGTATTTCAACTTTTCTCGAACCACTATTGTATGATTCACCAACACTAAAAATCAAATTCAAGACTTGTTATGTGGAAGACAGACTTGAAAATTGAATTCGTCCCAACCACTAGACCAGCTCATGATGGTTTAGTCTTATTGATTGTTGAGTAGCCTTGTAAAAAGAAATGATCTAAGGCAGTTGATATGTGAAATATTGTTGAGTTTCTTATAAAGCATGTCAAATTATAATTTATCTGTGAAAATAGCCACTAATTTCAAACCGATCAGAAGTCGAAACACGGTGGATTGACCAGGGCACTCAACATTATTTTGTTTCGCCGACATTGACCCTTCGATGATTTCATCACCTAATTTGCTTGGCATGAAGCATCAAAGGATGTTGGATGATCCTTCCCATCTCTGAGATGGATGAAGCCAACTACTTCTATACATACAATACACCATAAAAATATTATTGAGTATAAATTATTCAACCAAATGACCAACATGCCACAATTTCACACTTAACTATAATTATATTTGCTTCTTCTATAATATATATGTGCAGAAGTTTGTGCTAATGAGTGCACAGCCGTCCACATCTATGAAACAATGTGCCTGCATTACCACTAGCACTCTAGCAATTCTGCTACCCTTTTATAACTGCAGCGCCCTTTATATGGGGTTAACGTGGAGGGAAAGAGATCATCTCTGGATTCCTTCCACCTAATCAATCAAAGTTAGAGGTCCGAACCATTAAAATTTGATCAAACGGTTACAAGTAGGGGTCCACTTTAAAAATTATAATAACTTTAGCCGTTAGATCAAATTTTAATGGTTCGGATCCTCGGACTTGATGGATTATGAGGAATGGATCCGGAGATGATCCATTTCCAACGTGGATGTACTTTTTTACGGTACGTATCTATGAGATGTTTTTACGTTTAACTGTCAAATTTTTGTTTAAAAGTATAAAAACTAAGATCGAATGGCTGAAATATTCAGATTATTTATGAGATGCTCGGGAGTGCACTCAAATTTTTGAATGTTGAGATAAATGTATACATTGTTTGATGGTCCTAACTAAGAAACCTAAGCAAGAAGTTGAGGGACTCGTTAACAAAATTCATAGGTGTCAATGGTTGTACAATAGGTGGTAGGGTAGATTTGTCGTCGATGACAGTTTGGGCATAAACTTTAAGTTAGATGCTACTTTCATGAAATGTGACTGGTAATTAGGAAAAGAAAGTTCTGAAAGATGGTGAAGAAGGAGAAAAATTTGTGTTGAGGCAACCAACCATGTTATTCATCGAGAACTTCTCACAACAGTATATTTTGATTAGTCTCATTTGACGTGAGAGTTGCCTTTATAATAGGTCATATCGGGGTTTTAGGGAAGTGAAACAAGAACAAATATCTGATAATATTATGCATTTCATTCTTGTAGAGGATCATACATAGTGTTACAATTCTCATATAGGTTGAGGGAACCTGCTTCTCCTTAAAACATTATTCCACTATTTCCCATTGAAGTTTTTTTTTTCTTTTCTCATCAAATGTACCAAAACTCTTTACTGTACAACAAACAACTCACGAAAATAAAGGAAGGAAAATAAGCACAAAAATGGTCAAAACTAATGAGTACCTGAATTCAGGACTAATAGCAACATATGGGGCAGCGTATTAGGCCGTTCTCATTACAATCCGGGCAGCGTTGGAACCCCGATTCACACTCCTCCGCCTCCTCCTCCTCCTCCTCCTCTTCTTCTTCGTCGTGATCAATGTCTTCGTAATATATTTTACAGCTCCCTGAACATGTTTCACATGGCACAAACCTTATATCCCCACAAGCATCACAAACTCCACCGCCACCGCCGCCGCCGCAACCTCCGCCATCCAGTTTTTCACAATATTGAAGCAACTTTTCGAGCTTCCCGTCTTCGTGCAATTGCCGAATCTCATCAGCTCCACCAATGTACTTATTCCCCACAAACACTCTGGGCAATGCAGCCGCATGGTACCCCTCCTTCAGAAGCTCCCTCAGCTCCTCCTTGAACCCCGAATGCATCGACACGTCCCGCTCGTCCACCCGGACCCCTATGCCCTTCAGTATCACCCGAACGTGGCAACAGTCCTCGTACGTCTTTCGTACCCCTCTGAGGCTCGTGAAGTACAACACCACTCTGTCCCTGTCCTTCTTGTCCTGGGCCTCCAACACGTCATCGCAGGCCCAAGCCGGCTCCTTTCTGACAACCAAATGCTCTAAATCGGAAGGATCTTCCTCTGATTTGATCTCCGACAATGATTTCCTAAACGCGGATATCACATCCGGATCAAAATCCGCAATCAAAGAATTGGATTTCACCTGACCATTTTCATCCGACATTTGAAGCCACATGGGCTGCGGCTTAGGCGGGGAGTTCCCATTTTCTTGGAACCTCGATTTCGGGCTGTCGGAAGGGGAAATCGGCCTCGGACACGGGTCCCGAACAACGTGGAACGAAAAGCTCCGGAGGTGATTAGCTGGTGACCGGAGAGGGCTTATGTCCTCGAGGCCTTCCATTAACTCCCATGTATTGATCGTCTCCGGCTCGCCCGGCGGCGTCCTGGTGGGTGTTTTCGGCATTATTTTTGGGATTTTCGCGTCGATCATGTTCGACCACGTCTTGGCTTCGATCAATCCCATTGAGAATTCCTTGTTCTCGTGTCCATTATCCTTTTCGCGACCGTAACCGATTAGGTTCTCCTTCTTATTGTTGGTATCATCGCATCCGTTAACAATTACTCTGTTTTCAGGGCGATTGATAGAGCCTAAGGTGGAGGAGGTGAGGGCGACGACATGGTAGCTGTCACCTTTGGTCTGCGGCGGGTGGTGGACGTCCATTGAGTAGCTTCGGGAAATCGGAGAATAGGCGCTCTCGCAGTGCCGGCACCGCTTTTCCTTCGAGGTTGCGCAACCCATCGGACCCCAAACCTCGATCCAATACGAACAGATATTCAAACGGGTGTTTTTCTAAATGATCGGAAACGGAATTTCTTTAGGGAGAAATGGTAAACTGTAGGATTATCAAAAAGGATTTGGAATCATTCTTCTTTCTCCGTTTATTCACGTAACGAGAGAAATAGACACACGTGAGAAGAAACTCGCATTAATGGCGGAGAGACTCGAAACTGTGTAGCCAATCTGCGATTAGCCTGGAGGAGAAAGACGACGAAGGTGTGGATTTTCTTGGACGGTCGTGGAATTTGCAGTCCGTGAGGGAGAGGACAAACGCATGAAATTCCAGAAGGAAAAGGGAATAAAAAGTTGGGAAGGGGAAATGGAATGAATCGAATGGAAGAGTCAAAGAACGAGGGCGAAGACCATTGTGATTAAGTTCCCACCTCCGATCCCCACACCCGTCTCAAGAAAAGAAAATGGGAAAACTGCAATGGGGTGGAAGCAAGAACCCAAACATTCTCCGAAAGATTGTGTCAATATATATATATGGTGTCTTGACTTGGTAACAAATTAAAGTTTTTACTGGAAAAGTCCTCGTAGTTTACTTGAATTTTCACCCAATGCTGATGAAAATAGTTTCTTGTAAGTGATAGGTTTTATATTTGATTTTCAGTACATGCGAATTTGAACCATATTATTGCTAATTCATTGTGAGGTTAAGCCCATACTCTTTTTCTTGGTTTAGATAATATCGTTTGTTAAAAAAAATACAATTATTGCATATGGTCCAATATCTTAATAAAAAATTTACTTACTTTTTCGGGTTCGAAATTCTTCTCTCATCTTAATAAATATAACAATTTCGAATTGGAAAAGGATATCCTTTTCCTGGGGACTCCGGAGATCGTGTAATCATGTTTTTTCATCGTACATTATGCGGTCAATTTTCATTAGTAACTATTTATATTTAATTTTAAATTTTAAATTTTAAATAATTTATGATCGCAAGATGTACGATAAAAGAACATGATTACACGATCTTCGAAATTTTTCGAATTCTCTTCCCTCCCTTTAATAATAAAAAAAATACACGTGTTACTTTTTAGCCACATAACATTAATCATCCTCGTAATTTATTTGAATTTTGGCTTTCAATCTTGACTTTCTTGCATCTTCGTCCGTTGTTCTTTTTTAACTTTAGTCTTGATTGTCAACAAAGTTGCTTTGTCATTCATTTTTTGTTCATATCTTCTCATTTCAAAAATCCAATTTGAAAGGGATTTTGCCTCATTTAACGGATTGGATTAATAATGCTAACAAAATTAAACTACAAGAAAAGGGAATTGGATCCTCTCCGAGGCAATGCCTCAGGATCCTATTGACCGGACAACATAGGTCGTTGGATTTTGATCAAATAGTTACAAACAGGGAGGTCTCTCTAAAGTTATAATAATTGTAGTTGTTGAATCAAAATCCAACGGTCCATGTTGTCCGATCAGTAGGATCCCGAGGCATTGCCTCGAAGAGGATCCAATCCCCAATAAAAGAACAACATAACAAACCTACATGGATAAAAGTGAAATTCCTAATAAGTTATGGAAACCATTAGTACAATTTATTTTATTTTATTTGCTAAACTAATGAAATAGTAGTTTAACTTTCTTTATTACTTAAAAAATAATACAATAATTTTTGCTTGAATTACCATAATATTTTCTTTGGTCATATATAATAGTTCATATGTAGAACACTGTTACACAGTCCACGAGATAATTTAGATAAACTAATCAATAAAAAGAGGCCAAACTGTAGAGAGATTTTTCATTGCACCAGAAACACGGGACGGTATCTCATATAGTGTATCTGTCCGTTTTCAATTTATTTATACATTGATATATAACATATTTGTTGGTGTTTTAGGTATGGCATCCCATATCGCCCAGGGGAGTGGAGCACACCAAAAATATGCTCAAAAGTGCGATGCTAGTTAATTGAATTTTGATGATGTTCCACTTCAATCCCCAGAGTTTTATATCTCGCAATTTAGTCCATGTAATTTACCAATTTCAAAATTCTAGCTTACGCACCAACATTTATAGTTTTAAGATCAAGTCCATATCATATTGACCAAAAATTCAAAAATCTACTTGAATCCTTAGGCACCAGTCACCACACGCAGCTGAATTCCAACAGCAAAATTACAACAAGAGCACAACACAAGGGGCCACAATTCCTGAACCTCCGCCTAAATCATATCACAGTCTCAAGAGTCAAGCAGAGAATTAATGGTGCTGCTGTCTCGTCCGACTTCAGTCCTGTGCAGCCATTCAAGCAATAAATCCCGCAGGTCGATGACAATTGAATTGTGTATTGTTTGAGTTTATTATTATCATGTTCATGTTGAATTCCTGTCGACAGGATCCCAAACCTTTGATCCTTTGTAATTTAGTTAGTGTAATTTACTAATGTATAATTTAACAATAATAGCTTAATTTTGTCAAAAAAAAATCGATGGAAGTGATATATTGGGGAAAACATACCACTTTGGTTAATCAAAATATTAGACAAAAAAAAAGAACTTAATTTGACAAATCAATGGCATCTCCTTAACTTCTTTTTTTTTTTTAGGAAAGCTAATGAAAAGGGCTTGAAAACTTTGAGTTTTAACGATAAGAACAAAATAAAGGGTAAAGTGAATAATACCAATATTGGATTTTTAGTGTAAAAATGTGGTTTTTCGTTAAAGTGAACAGTACTAGGAACTTTTCATTAAAGTTCCATTTTTTTAAGCATGTTACACCTAAAATCAATGGCATCTACTTAACTTTTTTTTTTTTTTTTTGCATGTTATACCTAAAATCAATGGGGTCTACTTACTTTTTCATTCATTTGATTGTCAATAAACACATGAATCGTGCTTAAAAAAAAGAAATACTGTTGTGACATATGTTCTTATCAATATGTGATTGTGTAAATCCTAAGTAGAGATAAAATAGGAATCCTTTGGGATCTAGAAGATCTTTCCTAATATACTTTGTATTACTTGGAGAGCAAGTTTCTCTCCTCCTAATTACTATAAATAAAGGCACAAGGACTGGGGAATTAACACACAATTCCTCAAACCTATTCTCCATTCTCTCTTCTTCTCTTTGCCGCACCTATCTATTAAATATAGGCCACAACACGTTATCAGCACGCTCTTCACGCTGTGCTTAGAAGAATTTAAAGGGAATTTATTCATCTTCAATCAGGGGAGTATTACGTTTCAATTATTTTTAATTGATTAAATTTTAATTTTATTGAATTCATATTCTTTTATTGATTCAATTTATTTTTCTTCTTATGTTGAACGTGATACAAGCTTGAAGATGAAAGCCGAAATTGAAGAAATAATTTTTCTGCATCAAACCAGTTCATTCATATCATCACGCAATCAGGTTCTTCTAAAACAACGGCTTTTAACTCGATATTTTTGAAGCCCTGATAGCATGAACATTCACCATGATGCATGACCCAACTTTACGTTTAACGTATTTTAGATTCTACATAAATTGTGTATGCCTCATAACCAAAATTGCTGCAATTATGTGAATTTGATATTTGCCATGAATTGAATCTTACATATGTACATGCATTGAAACTATTATTTGCATATGCATCAACGTAAATATGTGATTCATTGAATTATACATGCATATAATATAATTGAATTGGAAAAAGATTGGAATTGGGAACTAGGGTTCTGTTCGAACCTGTGTCTTTGCACCAAGCCACCATGCCCGCAAACTGCGATGGCCCAGAATGTCCCTCAGCCAGGCCTGCAGCCTGCATCCAATTCCATACCCAAATCCGAGAGTCTGCAGCTCTCCTCTTCCCCAGAAAACCCACGGAGCCAGAAGCTCCGAGCCTCAAAAACTCAGCAAACTCGACACCCATCGATGGTGTCCTTGTTCTCGATCACGACATGGCTTGCAGCCATTGTCTCGAATCTTTGGTTCATGTCGTCGATGACTCGAAGTCGAGATTTTTTTAAGAATGTCGAGATTTTTTTTTCAAATCTCCGTTCCTATTTGAGTTTTTGTCAACCCACAGGCTTGCCTTGACCGTGGCAACGTTGTCTGACATGGCGCCGTCGATCAAAACCAGTGTTCTTCCCCGGCGACACACACCCAGCTCCGACTGGGATGTTTTTTTTGCCTCAGACCCGAACCCATTAGGGTTTTTGCTGCATTCAGTCCAACACCAGCCCTTTGGGCTTTGGTGTTTTGTTCGAAAAATTTGCAATCTGGGCTCCTAGATTGCAGCCCATTATCACGGCCCGTAGAAGTAAATAAAAGAAAAAAAAATTTCTATGGCTCGCCTGCAGCGGCCCCGTGAAAAACAAAAGTTTTTTTTGTTTTGGCTGTCTACAGCAGCCCAGCTTTTTTTTTTCCCGCGGGCCTGCAGCCCCACCCGAGACCCTAGCCCACTTTTGGGCCTAGGTCACACGGCACCCATTTTATTAAGCAACCCCGTGGACTTATTTTTTTTGGGCTCCCGAATTTTATTCGCCTAATTATTTTAGGCCCAATGGGTTTTTTATTTTTTCACCCACATTTTAATTTGGCCCGAAGTCCAAATAAATTAATTCAATTATAATTATCCACCTAAAAGTTATATTTTTGCACATACTTGTTGCATATTTGCTTGCATATATATTTGTGTTTGCCTGCAGATATTATGAACTTAAAATTCATACTTCCGAACCCGAAGTTTCGGAAAAGTGCCATATGAACCTGAAGTTTCTTAATGCGCAACACTCATGTTGAGACCCGAAGTTCTCCATGCTTAAATCCGTTTAAACCAAACCATGTCTTAGAACCTGAATGTTCTAAATTTGTTGTTTATGGAAATTTTATTTCCTAAAACACCAATCACATTCTTGTTTCCTCCATTCAGCGTATTGTCGAACCGTAACAAGTTCGATTTCACTGATTTGGAAGTTTCGAATAGTAAACTACTTTATGTGGATACAAGACGTGAATAAGCATCCGCCATGATCCTTATTCGAAGAATTATGCCTGAAGCATATCCAATGGAAGTACCTCCCTGCTGAGGACTCCATGACTCTTCAAATCCGTTATGGACTGTTTCAAATCATGCAAAGATGAATTTTTGCCTGAAGCAAAACATGATTGAAACTGTTACGTCCATGAATAGGTACAATTCTCGTAGTCCATTTGTGAGACTCATTTTGCTCCACCTAATACATTTGGAAGAGCGAAATTTGACATGGACGGCCTATTGGCCGAACCCCATTGTTTTTTTTTGGTTTATTTTGTGAATAATTTATTTTGTTCTCGGATTTAAGATTAGTGTTTGGATGTCACCATTATTCTCGAATAAAAGAGTTAATTAACGAAGATTACCACATGTGACTACAATTAACTCATGGTTAGGTATGTTTTGTGGGGAAGTTAGCTGTCTGGTTCTATGCTAACTTCATACCTAATCATCCCCCGACAACCTTTCAGGCTTATCCAACCT